TATTAAGTAGAATTATTTTATGCCCAGTTAGTGATTAAAGAATATTCACCATAAGAGACATTTGGTATTTTAAAGATTCTTACGTGATGTTCCTTTATTACAAGACTATTCATTTTCCCAGTGGACATTTTGGTTGTTTTATCATTTTTGACTATTGATTATTTAGGCTTGCCTTTTTATGTAAAATAAATTTATGTAACTTTACTGAACAGAAATAAAAATAAAGAACAAAAAACAACCATAATGGCAAGATTTATGGACCAAACTTGAAAATTCCCAAATAGTTCATAGTCATACAACTTCATAAAATGTTTTATAATTGAATAAAGTATTTGAAGCTTGATATTTTTATGTCTTAATTTTATCCTCAGAACTTCTCATGAAAATATTTACTTTATTATTTTATTTTTTAACATTTAATGCTAAAATATTTTGGTTTATATTGTTTGTTTATATATGCAGCCATAATTGTGCAAATGATAGATCATTTATGGCCTCAATGAATAAATTATAGAAAACATAATTTGGATGTCTTCCCTTGAAAATAAAGTCCCACTAAGAGTTCCTCAAAGTGCAGTTTCAATTAAGTATAGAGCTACCCTGGGACTTCCCTCCTCCTTCTTTGGCTATGATTGTATCCAGCCAATAACTATTTAGATGGTGTTTCCTTCCCTGGCTAAAAAAAGAAAACAAATGGTCATAGTCAGTCTGTAAACTAGATATTCATATGTGGAAGTGGAAAACTTGAGCCCTCTCAACCTATAGAAAGGTAAATCAAAATGGATCAAAGACTGCAAGGCAAAACCTGATATTAAAACTACCAGAAGAAAACACTGGGGAAACATATTAAGCCATAAATGTAGGCAACACTTTTCTTTGGATAACACTTCAAAAGTAAAGGAAATAGAAACAAAAACAAACAAATGGAATTATATCAAACTAAAAGGTTTTCCTCAGCAAAGAAAACCATCAAAAGGGTGAAAAGACAGCACAATTAAAATAGACAGAGGATACAGATACTTCTAAAAGGAAAAAATTCCAATGGCCAACAAATTTATGAAAAAGTGCTTAATTTCAATACTTGTCTGGGGATTGCAAGTCAAAACCACTATGAGCCAAGTACAGTGGCACTTGCCTGTAATCCCAGAGGTGGGGGAGTCTGAGGCAGGAGGACAGCAATTTCAAAGCCAGCCTTAGCAACTTAGAGAAACCCTAAGCACTGGGCAAGACCCTGTCTAAAAAGGACTTGGGATGTGGCTCAGTGGATAAGTGCCCTGGGGATGAATCCCCAGTACCAAAACAAAACAAAAACAAACAAACACACAATAAGGTATCACTTAACCTAGTTGCACTGGCTTTTATCAAAAAGCCAAAAAGAAACAAATGCATGCAAGAATGAGAAGAGAAAATTCTCCTCATTCGTGTTACAACACCTAATAAGAGGAACATATGTTTCTCAAAAAACTAAAAATAGATCTATCATATGATCCAACTATACCATTTTTAGGGATCTATTCAAAGAGAAATATTCCAGTATAATGAAGAAAAGTACATAATCGATGTTTGTTATTACAATAGCTGGAGTCAAAATATGCTCATCAACAGATGAATGGTAGGGAGAACATGGCATATATACACAATGGAATATTATTCAGCCATACAAAAACATGTTATCCCACCATATGTAGCAAAATGAATGGAAACGTGGAACATTATGGTAAGTCAGACAAAGACAAATACCATGTTTTCCTCAAATGAGGGTGTTTAAATAAAAGTCAATGAGAATATAGAATAGTGATTATGAGAGGCTGGGAAATAAGGAGGAAAGAGGACATTCTGGGTATGCACCAGGTATCCAGGTGCAATTAAAGAGAAGTAATAAGTTCTGAAGAAGATAAGATGGCTATATTTTACAATACCCTTCTATGTATTTTATGAAAAACTAAAAGAGAGAAGCTCCAAAGTCTCCCACTGAAGCAATGATAAGAAGATGGAAAAATTAATTTGGGTTAATTATCTTGATTTGATCATTACACACTACATACATGTATAAAATGTCACACTGTACCCCATATTAGTACAAAGTAACAATCTAAAAACAAAAAGTTAGTGAACTGGGGTACAGTGAACATCAAAAAGAGCTACAGTCAAATCTAAAACAAGGAAATGACAGAAAAATAATAAATTCAAAAATTATAAGTGTAATCTTGTCAACAGGAAGAAGAATAGAGGATACACACAAAACAGCGAGTCTACATATTGCAGTCTAAGTTTTCTTCTGACCCTAGTAAACTTCAATCCTCCTGAAAACATATTGACTTTCTTTCTATTGTGTTGATATTTTAATATTCTCTGCCTATAAAACTTGAGTTCATTTTAAGGCATTTTATGCTTTCCTTATAAGCTAAAAATCTTTGATTAAAATAATATTTTTAAAAAGAATCACGGTATGTCAAGGACTCAGTGGAACATTTTGCACTAAACAATTTCTGGAACAGTTTTCAAAATCAAAAATATTAAAAAAAATTCTAATTTGGTGATCACAATATGAAGCCTAGGCTGTTGTTCATAGGGTTAAACCCTGATTTTTGGTTCTGTTTGGCTATTCAGAGCATTCATATTTTTATTATGATTCATTACGGTCCTTAAAATGAATAGTCCAAAGAATATGGGCCACAACCCAAAGGATTATATTTCAGGTAAATGCCTTATATTTTAATAGAAACTATAATAGTTTGGTATTAATTCATAATAATATAATGTATAACTTGTTAATATTTAGCCTTTGAATTAAATAAATTAATTATTTATATTTTAAATTAAATAAAATTTAACACATGTAAATATATGTATGTAAATATTATACTATTAATATATTATGCTCATACTGAAGAGCACTATTTATAAATGCAGTCTATATAAGAGAAAAAGGCACTCATACTTTTCTCAAATGAATTACATGCTAGTTGTTTTTTTGTTTTTGTTTTCTTAGAAAGCATTGTGACCTAGGATCATTGAGGTAAATAACCAAGAAAGAAACACATTATTTCAACTCAATACAATAAAGTAAAAACAACAGCTCTTCAAGAAGAGCGAATTTTCACATGCTTAAACAATATTATTATTTCATTTCATACATTATAGTAAGTTAGCAGTGTTGATGTGTAAGTGTGTAGATATAATTATTTATCGGTTAGTCAACTGCATGTAATTAACTATACCAGTAATTTAATGAAGGTAAGTGAGCTTACCTTCATTGTTTTTTAAAGTGAAAAAGTGTATAAAGATGCTTGTACAAAAATTCTCACTTTGGCATTTTTGTAATCACTAAAAACTGCAAACAAACTTGATGTAAAAATAAAAGATTGGTTTAAGAAATATAGCCAGGATGGGATACACGCACACACTATCCCTAATTTTTCTCTCCACAAAAACTATGTAGCTATTAAAATGTTGATTGAAGTTTACATTCATTCACATGGAAGTATGTGTATCACAAGTTATATGAAAATCAGGCTGAAAGTGTAATTTACAGTATGATCCAATTATAATTAGTTAGTATTAAATATATGTACATGTATGCTTAAAATAACATGCGGTAGGATAAATACTAAATGTTATTGTCCCTAGTTGGCAAAAAAAAAAAATTCACACATAAGCTTTTTATTTTCTCATATGTTTTCCATATGCTTATATTATTTTAAAATTGCATAAAATAAAAATTTTCAGTTGCAATTAGATTTGGAATAAAAGCACTAATTTACCTCACTAACTGTCTAGCAGCAGTGGTCTATGCTTTGCACAAAACACATGTGCATTGGGTTAAGGATTTTCAGAATACAAGGCCTTGCACTTTGATGAATGATGTGCTGATAGCACTGTGGCTACAGAATTGGAAATTCACAAAAATTCAGAGTAGTAAAGGACATAGTGTTAATCTTCTTCTCATGCTCTTCCTCCCTGTTCATAACCCACTTGAATAAAATGTATGAAATATGATATATCAAGAGCTATGTAATGTTTTGAACAACCGATAATAAAAAAAGGACATAGTAATCCACATTAAAATAAGGGGTAAACTGACACATTTTAGACATGAAGATTAAGGAATCATCTTCTCCTAACTTTCTGTAAAGTGGATTGTAAATGCTGACCAATGATGTGAGGTAATTCAGGCTCATTAAACTGAAAACCTGATGTTTAGGTTCCATAAACTGGGAATTTGGGGGTAGGCATGTTTAGACATACTCTTGAAATGTCTAGATCCCTATCCATTAATTACTGGTTATGATCCACTCACCCTCACTTCCCTCTTCTGCCCACAAGAAAGCTGGGTATGCATATGAAAACAGAGTAACATATAGGAGCTACTTAAATCTATTCAAGTTTTTTTTTTCCATCTTTTTCAAAAGTGAGTCATTGAGCAACTTTGATAATTTAGCTGTTCTTAAGAACAAAATACTTAAGTCATGCTGCTAGAGAACTACTCGACTAGGACAGCACAGGAAATTTGTTCACTTTCTTTTGCTCTTCTGACAGCCGCATAAGCACATTGTCAAATCCTTTTACCAAGGTTTAGAACTTGCAAGACAGTAACTATGAGGGCACCCTCCAAACTTCTGTCCTCAATGCCACAGATGTGTGGCATTGTTATACTTTGCCATTGTTAGAGAGAAGTGGATTATAGCCATGCCTGTCCTACTCTGCCATTACCACCTCCATATTACATGCATTCTATTCTCGTTCAGAAATCTGACAAGCTTCCAGGATCTTAAAAGGGAAATTTAATGGTTCTCTCAGACACAGATGCTCCTTTCCTTTCTCATGGTTCTTTCAAGTAGTTGATTTTTTTTATGTTCAAATATGCAGGAAATAAACTTAAATTACATAAAGAAAATCAAAATTGTATCAACAAACATATGTAGACAGTTAAATGATAATAAAGTTATAACACAGGGACAAAATTAAAAAAAAAAACAAATAAACAAACAAACACTAACATCTCTGTCCAGAACTCTGCCTGTGCTGTTCAGGAAAAGCATTTGTTTAACAGGATCCAACAACACCCAGTAATCCACGTTGTCCTTTAAAGAGAGTTCTATGGTGGGGTCTGGTCCTCCAGCAGTCCCTTTTATCAGCATGTTGTCCACCAGAATCGTACCTGCAAACCAAAGAAAGTTATTTGAAACCATATTCTATGCATATGCATTCTTTAGCAAAGATTATGTTCTTAAACTGCAGCTGACTTATTAAAGCATAAAATATTCAACTGTACATCTAACATAGAAAACTTTCTAATGTCAAAAAGGCAAAAAATACCTTCATTATACTATTTATAAATGATTTTGTGGGGAGATGAAGATGGGAGGAAGAGATTCAAACACTTGGTGAGTTTCATCATCTACTTCTTGTTTCCTTTTAACAGGAATCTCATCTCTTCTCTGTCCATCACTTCTCACGGGAGTTATCATTAAATTTTATCCTGAACAAAAGGAAATGCCTGTAATAACAGTCTGATACTTCAATTCACTCAGTAAGACTTCTGATATGAAAAGAGATATCGTGAAAATAAGATAGAGGAAGAAAACGGAAGAGATAAAGCAGCAGCAGTGTCTCCCAGGGTGAGAATGGCATCTTTTTCTTTTATCTTAAAGCAAATCCATAAAACATAAATCTTAATGTGAAAGACAAAACTAGTGTGCAGACACACAATAGAAGCCATTCTTCTTTAATACATGTCTGGGGTACTCGACTAGAACAACAGGCTATTCCAATGTAACATTTTGATGCTTGAAGCTTCCTTATTATATTTTCAGCAGGCTGAATTGTAGACACTTCTTGAATAAAAGTTGAAAAGAGAGTAAGTCTCTGATCTTTCCTACTTGTTAAAGATTCCAAGCTTTTTACAAGTTGAATGTAAATGGCATTGATGTAACTAAAATCTCATCCCCCTCACCCACAACCCCACCCCTAGCAATGATCTCTTTCCCAAACAATAATGTCCTATGGCTTATGGCAATCATTTTCAACTGATCCATTTTATTAAACTTATGGCTATAAAAAGGATGTGGCTATGCAAATAAAAATGTACTCTCCTAAAGACAGTAGGATAAATCGCAAATATCTATAAAACTCCTTGCCTTAGAATAGCAAACAAGGATATATAGATAATCCATAAATATGAATCTGGCTTAAAGAATATGATGGAAAATCTAAGAGCCTTGTTTTCTTTAGGCATAAATTTGTTCAAATGTTATTTGGTTACATAGCTACAAAAAAGAAAGGGAATTTCTTTGTAAGATATTCCAAGTAATTAAATAAAAAAATAACTGTCTATTGTACTTCCAGGAATTTTCTAAGAAATTTTATAAGAAGACATTATTTTTTTATGGATCCACCAACCTAAATAATATTTAAACTCTAACTCTCTCTCTCACACACATATACACATATACCTTTCTAAATGACAGAAATTTTCCTTTTAGTTTTTTATTTACTGGCATGTAAAAAATGTAAATATTGAGTGAAACCTGTCTTACTAGTTTATGACTTACCTGGTAAATGAATAACCTTCAGACAATACACCCCAAAGTACAAGTCAGATGTTGATGTCATTTTCTGACCTGTAAGTCTGTCCAAATATATGCTCAGGGCCCCAGTACACACATATTTGCAAATATTTTATACAACTCATCTTTGAAAAATTATTCAGTCAGCTTCCAGATGTAATTAAGAAAAAAAAGGAACTCTATTTTCTGATAAAAAAGAGAAACACATAGTAGGCAAAACAACTCATGTTAATTTTTATGCTTTGACTCAGTGAGTAAGAATAGCAGCAGCAAGCTTCTCTGTAATGTACACGTATACCAAATGGGAACTCCAAGGCACAGGCATTGAGCTCTCCTTTGTAAACAAAGATAGAAAAGATTGTAATACCAATCTTCACTTCTACTAAAGCAGTGAAACAAAACATTCTATCTGGTCTTACAATTTATTTAATTATGTTTGAAAATTTCATGGAGATTTAAATATTTATCTTGCTCTCCAAACTCCACTATGTCCTTCAATGATTGAAACTCAGCAGTATTTCTACTGCTACTAAGCTAAAAAGAAAAACATTATGTGATTTTTGCTTTTATTCTCACTATTCATACTGACAAAAATCTCTCAAGACTTTCATATGCCATACTGCCCTAGATCAATAGTCGAAGAAAAGAAGAAACACAAGGATCATTCACGCTTACTGCAAGGATCAATGTTTCTTTTTTAAGATTAACCTAGGTGTCCACCCTCTGGCCTAGACAACCCTGTTCTTCTGCCTATTTACCCCTGTGATTAGAAAAACAGGTAGCATCCAAGCTGAATTTAATCTTAAACCAGAAACTTATCACCCTTTTCCACCCTAGGATGGGGAATGTTTCTTCCTAGAGGTTTCCAAATGTCTAGATTTGGGCAGCTAATGTTATAACCCAGTGCAGGTGAGTAGCTGACCAGCAGTATAACCTAGGCATATTAGGACAATGTGGTCCTTTAATTCCTCTCTTGCTTGCAAGCTTCCCTCTAAACAAAACCTCTTATTTAATCCTTCACATGTGATATTTAAATTACATTCCCAGCCTTAACTTCAGTCTAAATATAAAGACAGATAGGATACACAGTGCAACACAAATAAGACAGCTGAGTGTTTCTAATATTATAGGGATAAAATGGCATATTCTGTGACAACAAGGCAATCAACTGAAACTAGAGTTGAAATGAGGAAAAACAGGACTCGGGACAATAATTAATTTGATAGAGTAGGACTTCTGTAATAATAAAAAAAATTCTTGGAGAAATGCAATAAAGAGAAAAGCTTCAATTAGTACATAGAAGGAAATACTGGACTTGAACCAGAACAGCCACAGATGCTCCTTCAGGTGTCATTCATTTGCCCAGAATCTCCCAAATAGGCTTTCCACACTCAGTAAAGGGACAATTTGTCAAATAGTAACAGCTATGTAATGGCTAGGCATTGTGGCCTGCCTTCCACATAGAAAGGGGATTAAAATAAATCTAATGGGATTCTCTTCCTCTCTCCTCAGTTATATCTATATAACTTGCAAACAGATTAATTCTGAGTTCATCTAACCTTCTTTTCTTCCTTATTACCCAATTATTTATTTTTTTTCTTTCATTTGATAAATACATTCTCAGAAATAGATGAATAAATAAATAATAGAAGCAATCACTGCTGACCTTGAAGAAACCTGCCTTGAAGAATAGGTGATACCAAAGACTGGACTCCCTTTACATGAAGATTTTCTTTCATCATAACAAAAGTGTTGGTTATTAGGACAAAGAAACTGAATTAACTTATATTTATATCACATGAGTTAAGACAGCTGACTCTAGAATTGATATGCTTAGAATCCATCCTTCCTGCTCACTTCCAGCTATGTGAAAAAGGATAGATTATCCACAATTCTCTCATTATATGAAATCAGTACCATAACTGAAAAGGTATCCCTACTATAATAGCATATATATGTTCCTGGGAAGGACCTGTATTCTTATATCTAGAATAATAACAAAAACTAAAATAATCATAATTGCAATAAAAATGTTAGCACGGTTATATGTTTTAGTGGTATTTTAGGCATGTATCACGGTTATTGAAATGTGTGTTTCTATTTCAAATAATGGAGAATAACTTGCTACTAATTAGATATGTTTAAACGGATTTAAACTTTTTAGAATGCATACATGTACTAAACATTATATGGTAATACAATTACCATTAACATGTACATTTTTATATTTTTATGAGTCATTTAAAAGTTATTTTAAATTTAAAAAATAGAAAGTAAAAAGAAAAAAATGAAAACTTCATATGTCATCAATCTTTATTAGTCTGTTATTTTATTTCAGACAAATAAATCTGCAGCTCAGTGATCTGTACTCCCAGACTCTCTAGAGAGTTTAACCTATTATCAATGATACTTGTTCATGTAGCCAATCAGGAAGACTTTCACTAAACACAGGTGCACCTATAGATTTTCACATTTTTCCCTTTAAGATCTTCTTACATAGCAAAATTTTTTTTTAATTAGGAAAAACAGCTTTTACAGATTGTGTCAAAACATAAATTTAATGGAAAATAGGTTAAGAATCAATACAGCTTCCTCATAATTCCAACTTCCTTCTCCTACTTACCAATTATACATAAGGTAATTTGTATCAAAAAAGAATTGGTGAGATTTTGTTGGATACTAAAAGCGATAACTCATACAAAGTGCTGATTGTAGTCTCTGATACAGAAAAGAACTTTAAAAATGTGAGTAATGGTTATTGTTGTTGATGTCATAACTCCATTTGGGAAACAAAAAATATTAAAAGCTAAAGCAAAATAAGTCACAGAAGTCTTTACACACCAAATCTACTGTTCCTGTCACAAAGCTATGGTTAACATGTTTGGTCACCACTTAGGTGTGGCAAACAGCCAGAAAAAATTTATATGGACTTAAAATATTTAAATCCAAAATAATTATTATTGGAAGTTAGGAGGGAGGGAAGGATCACTCCCTCTAGATATACTTGTAAAGAGAACCCTCTGTCAAGGTCTTCCTGCATTATATGTCCATGGCCGTGCAGTTCATCCAGGATTGCAGATATCAGAGAGTGACTTCATTCTTTCAATTCTAATCTCAGACAACTTTGAATTTTTTCATCAAATATCAAACTAGATTTAAGTTTTAGCTAGAAGGGATCATAGCCAACAATTACACATTGATACTAGAAGATAATTTTATACTGAATACTTTTTACTCATCCCAGGAGTATTTGAATCTGTTAGGATACATGTATGTGTGTATGTATGTTTGACATACACAAGTACACACATATATACACACATCACACAATATATACATATGATGTATATTATAAAACAAAATATATGTGTGTGTTATAAATTATAATTTCATACTCAGTATTTTCCTGCAGAAATTATTTGCTTCTTTAAATAACAGGCGCATTAATCTCTAAAAATATTGTGAAAGTGGCGTCGGGGAGGAAGGTCCATTGCCTTTCTAATTAACCTAATTCAATGAAGCTGAAAGAGTCTGTTCTACGGAGAGAGCAAGTAATTGACTGATTGGATTCATTCCAAATTCTTAAATTTTT